GCTCACTTGGTAGCCCAGGCTGGCCTCGAACTCACAGAGATCTGCCTGGCTCTGCCTCCTGAGTGCTGGGATTAAAGGCGTGTGCCACCACTGCCCGGCCAGTTTTCCAGTTTTTATTATCTGACCACAGTAGGTAAGACCTATTCATCCCAATGCTGAGCACCAGGGTGTATTTTCCTCTTTGTTTGATCTGTTTGTCAGCAGAGTTGTGCTATTCCACTTGATACACGGATGGTGATGCTTCCGTGCCAGCTTTGACCTCCCAGTAAGTTTCAGAGGTTTGTTTTCCTATCTGGATTCTCTACATGGGATGTTCTTAAGTATAAATCCGATGAACTGCATGATGTTTCTGTGAATGCTTTCTGTTGATGAGGCTAGGAGGATGCAGGAAAAACATATCTAGCATTTCTCAAGAGGTATTTTTCCTGATAGTCAGGAAGCTGAGACAGGAATATCTGGAGTTCAAAGGCAGCCTAGGCTATACAATGAGACTCTATCTCTAACAACAAAGAGTACAGGAATTTAGTAATTCGTCATAAGCCTGCCCAATTCAGCAATGTCCTCTCTCGATACATTTTCCACGGCTGCCATCTCGTCTCTAGCACCAGATCTAGATGGGCAGCCTAGATCTCCTAGCACCTTCATATCCAACTTCAAGATGTGTCCATCAGGACATCAAGACAACTCAGATTCAGCATACGGGAGATTCCCATGACTTCTGTCCCCAGCCAAGTGTCTCAGAAAATGGCACTGTAGTCTACCTAGTTGTTCCGGTAGGAACCTTGAAATCATTCTTAGCCATTACTTCTATTCCCATACCCATTTACTAGCCAAGAACCAATTCCTACCGAGGGTATTACCTTAAACTTCTGTTAACCCCGAGGCCATTACCATAGTTCAAATCACTATAATGTCTTCCTTCATTTCTGTAGTTTCCTGACTGATCTGCTGGGCCTTGCCTCCTCCTACCTCTGCTATCCCTAATAGAAAAGCTGAAGCTGGCCACGCCCTCCTCCGACCATTCACCTCCATTAGTTTTCTGCTGTCCACAAGATACATGCTGGCTGTACAAACATCTACGCCACAGGGCCAGCCATGACTACTTTTCCCTTTGGCAGTTCACTGTCTGCCGAGGCCGTAACATGTTTGCTTCATTTGGCTTACACGGCAGAATTGTTCTTTCCTTTCTACAGGAAAGGATAGCTTGTCACCACAATGAAGAACACCAAATACTTAGCATTCAGCATTCAGGACTTTTACATTTTCTGTATACTATGTATTTCATTTTGTTCTCATAACAACTCTATAAAATACAGATGGTTATTATCTCCGTTTTACAAATGAAGAAACTTAAAGCCCATCTGTTTGATGTAGTATAATAATTGAGTACAGAGGGTGGGATTCAGAGCCGGGTCTGAACCTGTAACTCCTCTTGCTTCTCTGTTTTCATGTCTCCATACATGCTGCTCCCTCTGAGCAGACTCTAGGAAAATCCCACATGCGCAGAGTTCAGCCTGTGGTTTGTGGTGGGTTTCTTTTCTTTTTCCCATCTTTTGAGACGGGCTCTCACCCTGTAGCACAGTTTGGCCTTAATTTTGTAATCCTCCTGCCCCATCCTCCAGTGTTCTGATGTGTTGGGGTCCTAGGCAGGAAGAAAAGGAATGGACAAAGGGCCTCTATAGCTTCCAGGGGACCACCGGAAGTATGTCAGGATCAGTGGGCCAGAGTTTAGCCTTTGCGGATAATATTCTCTAGTGCCAATGACAGAATCATTGGTGGCCTTTGATGTAGACAGCAAATGCTTCATGTATCTGGACAAGGTCTGGGGTCTCCTTTGATGTAAAAACTCTACTGCCGTAGAAACAAAGTTCTCTTTTACAACCAGACTAAGCCCAAAGATGAGAAGGAAATGACACTTGAGGACAGGATAAAGAAATGGGAAGAACAGTTGTTCCCCAAAGCCCCACCCCTTGGGGCAGTTGCTCATGACCTTCACTGCTGGTTCTGCCTGCTTTCTTTCCTCTCAGAGATGGCAACCTTCAACCTCCTCCTCTTGCAGCTGCCAAGGTCAACAGCTGTCTGCTCTGTTGCTCAGGACACTGTCCCTCTGACTCTGAGAAACTGTCCTTGAGCGCTTCACTCTGTTCATTAATAAAACTAATCTGTGTATATGAAAATGACTAGGACTCCGTGTGGTCATGCTGATTCCTTCAGTGCCCACCCCCTTCCCTCCCTGCATCTCCCCAGCACTGTGGTAGAGGCATTCATTCACCACTGTGTCAAACCTCAGACTTGGGTTTAGAAAACTCCGCAGAGCTGATTGCTGTTTCCCAAACAAAATGTGTTTGTCTTTTATCTTTGTTACAATGCGCTCACGAGATAACACAGCCTGCTGACAGAGTTCCCTAGGAGAAGGAGCTGGTTTTGATTATACTGGTCGTTCTTACTCCTTTCTCAGAGCCTGATACCAGGGACTACAGAAACATTCGCTCAATTCTACACTTCCTTTATCTGTTTATAGACTTCCCAATTCCCATCTGTTAGCGATGCACGTATCCACCTTTCTCTTCTACAGAATTCAAATGATGTCTATGGACCTAGAGCTCTTCCCAACAGGAATCCAACACTCCTCCTTCTATATCAGAATCATTGTAGGATCCACTTCCTGGGTAGCTGGATGTGCAAA